TTTTGTGGCCTATTATCAATCCTAGAGAAAGTTCCGTGTACTGATGAAAATGTGTTACTCTGAATCTTCAGTATGAAAGAATCTGTAGATATCAATTAAGGTCATTTTTTCCCATTGTCTAGGGGAGCTCTGTTATTTCCTTGGCTGAGTTTATATCTCATTGATCTATGGAGGTTAGTGAGGTATTAAGGTTCCCTCCACCCCACAGTATTATTGTATCGGAGTCTATTCTGTTTCACAAAGCTAAGTGCCATGGTATTGGTTGCATATTCATTTAGTATGGTTATTTCTTCAGGTTGAATGGATCCCTTGATCATTATGTGTTTTACTTCCTCATCTCTTTTAATGCTTTTTACATTAAAGTCTGTGTTATCTGACAGAATGGCTACACCATCTCATTTCTGCTTTCCAGCAGCCTGAAATATCTTTCTTCATCCTTTCACTTTAAGTTTCCACATTTCTTTATGTGCAAGATGTGTCTTCTGTAGGCAATAGAAATGGTTTTGTTTTCTGATCAAGTCTACTAATCTGTGATGTTTGATTGATGTGTTTAAGCCACTTATATTCAGAGTTCATATCGATAGGTCATGATTGGGTCCAGTCATTTTAGCAAAGAGTCATTCATTGTTTGATTTTTGTTCTGCTGTGGAAATATTTTCTTTCATTTTCAAAGATACTGTGTGAGTTATTCTGGGCTGACAACTTTTTTTTCCTCTTAGGGTCTGGAATATGTTATTCCATTCTTTTCATTGCTTTTGTAGTTTCCTTTGTGGGTCAGCTCTGGTTCTGATTGGGGCTCCTCTGTATGTTAATTGACTTTTCTTACTTGCATATTTAGGAATGATTTTCTTATGTTCAACTGAAGGCAGCCTGATCATGATGAATCATAGTGATCATCACTGCTGGTTGACACAGTTGGGAGTTCCGGCCCCTCCCGTATTTGTTTCCCAATTCTTTCTCTATGTTAGGGAAGTTCTCAATTATTATCTCCTTGAATAAATCTCTGAACCCAGTTTCTCTTTCTGTGCTTTCTGGAACTCCCGTAACTCTGATATTTAGCCCTTTATTGGTGTAGCTTAATTCCTGAGTGATTTTTCTTATCTTGACTCAATTCCTCTTCCAGTTTTTTGAATATTCATCATTATTTCAGGGAATGTCTTCAATTCTGACAATTCTTTCTTCTATCTCACCATTTTATTATTGATGCTTTCCACTGAATTTTTAATTCACTCCATTGTGTCCTTTGTTTCTAAGAATTTGGCTTGATTTTTTTCAATGTTGCTATTTCCTGTGTAACATATTACTTGAACTTCTGTGCATGTTTCTCATTGTTTTTAAGTACATTTATAACATTTGAAAAAAATCTTTTATCTTCCAGTTCCTCAAAGCCTTCCTCGGTTACCTGTGAGGTTGACAAAGGCTTTTGCTCCTTTGCAGGAAAGGCATTCATAATTTTAATTGTGCCTCTCTCTCTTTCTTTGCTCTTGGTCATTGCAACTGTGATGAGTGGATTCTTCTTCTTAGGGCCAAATTTTAATTTGTGTTGCCCACAGTCCTACAGGTTGACTTTTTTGATCCCACTCAGTACCCAGTTCTTCATTTGTTGACACTTGTGCCACTTCTTCCAGCGAGATTCAGCCCCAGGTTCCCATACTGCACTCTCGGGTTACCACTCTCCATCCCCTGTAGTCCTGTGCTGTGGCCACACTTTTGCTGCCTCAGCCTTCCTCTGCTCCTGGTTCCAACCATACCTGGGATTAGGGAGACACCAGCTGTCCTAGATCACAGAATTGTCAGCAGTGCCCATTGCACATTTCTTTTTCTTTCCCCTTATTGTCAGGACTTTCTGGCATGTAGTTGTGGATGTAACCCATGCCTATCTTGGATGGTATACATGGGATGCTGAGTTGGGATTGTTTTCCTGTTGGGAACAGCGTGTTTAAGCCAGAAGTGAGTTCTCCCTTGGCTTAATGCATGCTCAGCTCGCTGTTGTCGCTCTTCCCTAGAGAGTTTGCTCAAGTTCACAAAATGGCACCCACTATGGCACTGGTGGGGAGTCTGGGCATTGAAATCTGACCTCTTTTCACACCTGACTTCTTGGGATCTGCCGCTCTGGATTAAATAAGTCAGCAGAACCTGCAGGTCTATGGCTGGGTTCACCTCCTGAATTCCCTGTGAACTCCCCTTTCTACCTGGCTGCCAGTGGAACTCTGATTGCTGGCAGAACTCTGATCACCACTGGGGTGTCTGGTCCCTGCACCAACACTCCACTATCTCTGCCTCTTCCCCATACCCATGTTTCCCTCTCCAGGTGTCCCTCTGCTGTCTGCCTGTCCTCTCCTATTTCCTGGGATCGTGCCCTCTCTGAGTCACTTCAACTAATTCTTCTCCATCTGTTTAAACATGTCCTCCCCCTATTCCACCATCTTGAAACTCCCATTTCTTTTTCATGATATGGTTCCACAGGCACACAGATTTTCCCTTATCATGACCTTGTAAGCATACACATCATTTTTTGAATTTTCATAAAATCCAGTAGTCTGTTTTTTCCTTTTGTTGCCTGTGCCAGTAAACCATTGCTAAATCCAAAGTTGTAAAGCATTTACCTTACATTTTCTAATAAGCGTTTCATTCTTTTAGGTCTTACATTTAGGCCTACATTTGATTAAATTGGAGTTAGCTTTTGCATATGGTATTAGAGTCCAATTACATTCTTTACATGCAGATGTCCAATTTTTACCATTAGTTCAAGAAGCTGTTACTTGCTGAATTTTATGATGTTGGTGCCCTTGTGAAAATGGTCAGTGAAATCTACATGGAAGGGTTTAGTTCAGACTATGTATTCTATTCCATTGATCTGGATGTCATACTGATTATTAGCTTTGTAGTAAATTTTTCAATGAGAAAGTATGAATCCCTTGGCTTCATTCTTTTTCAATATTCCTTCAGCCATTTAGGATGTCTTGTGATTCTATGTAAGACTTAGGATGGTTTTTCTCTTCCAGCAAAATATCTCTTGTGTTTTTGATAGGGACTGCATTGCATCTTCAGTTTTCTTTGAGAAATATTGATATCTTATTAATAAGAATGAACCTGAGGATGTGTCACTGTTTAAGACTTCTTCAGTTTCTTTCAAAATGCTTTATGGTTTTCATCTCCTTAGCTGAGGTAATTCCTATGTATTTTATGCTCCTTGATGCTATTATAAATGGAGTTGTTTTAATTACTTGCTTTTTAGATTGTTGTTAATATGTAGAAATCCACTTGATCTTTGTATGTTAACTTTGTAACCGGCTACTTTTTAAAATTCACCAGCTCTAACTCTGAGTTTCTGTGTGTGTGATAATTAGGATTTTCTACATATAATATCAACTATGGACAAACTGTGGAGGATCACTGGGCAGGGATAGTCAGTGTGTGGGCCAGGGCTGGGGTGAAGGGCACATGGGCTGGGGTGGAGGGCTCCCGGCAGGGATAGTCAGTGTGAGGGCCCCGGGCCAGGGTCAGGGCTTCCATCCTGGAGAGTCAGTGTGAGGGCCCGGGCTGGAGGGCACCTCAGTTTGGATAATCAGTGTGACAGCCTGGGCTGGGGCTGAGCAGAGGGCTCCGGGCCAGAATAGTCAGTGTTAGGGCCTGGCTGGGGTGGAGGGCTTCCGGTCAGGACAATCAGTGTGATGACCTGGGCTGGTTGGAGGATCACCGGACCAGGATATGAGTGTGAGGACCCGGTTTGGGTGGAGGGCTCCCGGTAGCGACAGTCAGGGTGAGGGCCTGGGATGGAGGACAGCTGGGTTGGGAAAATTAGTGTGAGGGCCTGGCTGGGGCTGAGTGGAGTGCTCATGGCCGGAATAGTCAGTGTTAGGGTCGGGGCTGGGATGGAGGGTCACTGGACCGGGATAGTGAGTGTGAGGGCCAGGGATGGGCTGGAGGTTCACTGTGCCAGGATAATGAATGTCAGGCCCCGGGCTGGGGTGGATGGCTCCAGGCTGGGACAGTCAGTGTAAGGGCTGGAGGTGGAAGGCATCTGGGCTGGGATAGTCAGAGTGATGACCCCGGCTTGCGTGGAGGATCACCTTGCTAGGATATTGAGTGCTGGGGGCCCGGGCTTGGGTGGAGGATCACCAGGCAGGGATAGTCAGTGTGAGGGCCCTGTCCTGGATGGAGGGGTCCTGGATGGGACAGTCAGTGTGAGGGCCGGAGGTGGAGCTCATCTGGGCTGAGATAGTCAGTGTGAAGGCCCGGGCTGTAGTAGAGAATCACCTGGCCAGGATAGTGATTGCTGAGGTCCCGGGCTTGGGTAGAGGATACCCGGCAGGGATAGTCAGTGTGAGAGCCCGGGCTGGGGTTAAGGGCACTTGAGCTGGGGTGGAGGACTCCCGGCAGAAATATTCAATGTCAGGGCCGGTTCTGGGTGGATGGCTCCGAGAGGGCAGGAAGGCATGGGTCTGCATGGTGGCAGGGCAGCATGGGTCTATGTGTGGGCCAGGCCTTGCAGTGTGGGGGGGTCATCTGAAACCAGAGAAGTCTTCTGTGGGGACAGCAAGAGACCCCAAATTGTGGCAAGAGGAAATCTTCCCCATGTGGAGACTAAGCTCTCTCACGCAGTGCACAAGTGGAGAAGCAGCGTGGGTCACCGTGCAGGAGTGGTGGTTGCAGAGTTCCCAGGTAAACCCTAGATGTGTGGCAGTGGGTGGAGACCCCTGAGGAAGAAACCAGGAGGGGCCAGTCCATGGTAGGGCTGGGAAGGGGAAGCAGGAAGGGGCGTACTTCCACGGGTGCCTGTGGTGGGGAGGATATGTGTACATGGAATGCAGGGTTGGCTAGAAACCCGGTCAGGGGATGGTGTCCTGAGTGGCTGAGGTGAAGTGAGACTCTGCTTTGGAGTTGGTAGAGACCTGCGAGCAGGGGCAGTGCAGGTGGTAGGTTCTGTGTCCCAGGTGGTGAGCTCAGGTCATACAGGAGGTGGTCTAAGGCAGCACAGACATGCTTTTTGGGCACAGGTTCCCGAGGAGGCAGCAACGAAGACAAAGTGCAGGGAGCAGGTGGCAGTGCAGTGCAGGTTTGTTCTTCTCAGTGGGACAGAAGCAAGGGCCATCTTGGTGCTTGTGGAGATGTTCAGGGAGGCAGCAGTGATGTGAGGGCCTCCATCAGCAGGAGAAAAGCGCAGATCTGTGTTGGCGGCAAGGTGAAGCACAGGATGAAGCCCGGATCCAAGGTGTTGGCGGAGGAGAGCACACGCAGAGATGAAGGCCAGACCTCCCAGGCCTGGGGTGTCAATGGCAGTGGACAAGCTTCTGTTCTGAGAGGCTGCAACATGGCTGTCCAGCATCAGGCGCTCCTGGATCTTGACTGTGTGGATGTGCATTGGTGACAGTGGTGAAGCAGCGTCCAGTGCAGAGCATTGGCAGCTTCTGTCTCAACCCACTAGCTGTGCCTCCTTCCACCTGCTGAGTTAACCTCCTTGGAGAAGAAATGAGGGGATTGGGAAGGCAGTGAAGGGGATTGCCCTCCTGTGGGCTAGGGGCAAATGGGAGAGTCCTGCAGGCATGGGGCAGGTACCAAGAGCTGGCTGCGGCTAGAGTCAGGAGCCATGGAGTGGATTGAACATGAAAACCTGGTGCGTTGACCTGGGAGGAAAAACGTGCTGTTGGCTGAGGAAAAACAGGAGGTCTGGATTTAGAGTTTGTGCGGAGAGAGTGAGAGGGTTTGGAGTGCAGCGCTAAGGGTGAAGGGTTTGGAAGGAACACTCTGGAGGATTAGGTGCCATGGAAGAGCCAGGGCACAGGAGATGCTTGGGTGCTGGAAGCTGAGAGCAGGTAATGTGTGTGTCTCTTGAGGGAAGAGAGGAAGGTTTGTAACAAGTGAAGGATATGGTTGATAGAGCAGTGACAGCCTTGCCATGGGGTGAGGGAGAAAAACCTTAGGCAGCATGGCAGAAAAGGAGTGTTTTGTGGGAACAGAGCGTTCTGAAGAGACTCAGCAATTACAATTTTTCTAGTGAGAAATAGGAAACATCGAGGAAGAAATGGCTTGGAATGGTGGAATAGTTAGACTCATGTTGTGTTCAGATTTGTTGAAATGTAGAATGATTCAGGAAGGCAGAGACAAAGCATTCTGCTCATCCCTTAGCTGGCCCCGGTGGCCTGGTCTGAGCCATGCCCAAGCCAGGAGCCAGCCTCTCCATCCTGGTCTTGTACCTCACTGGCAGCACCCCTAGTTCAACCTGTGCCACAAGGCTGTCCCCAGGCTGCACATTTCAGTAGGCAGTCATAAAATTCTTACTGAAAAATTCATACTGGAATGTCAAGTGAGGAGTGCTGGGTCAAGCCAAGTCATTGAAAGTTACTGGTGGGTAACACAATCCTTTTATTGTTATTCCATATCAGCAGTAACACTTTTTGTGTTTTTATACATGGATTAGTAAAATTTCTCTTTATAATGATTGTTCATATTACATTTTAGTGGATTGTTACCTGCTGAAATTGTGTATAGGACTACGTTTTTTGGGCATCTTTTTTGTCCTTTGTATTAAGAGCTGCAGCAGTGGATCTTATTTATGCTGCAAGAGGTTCTGTACGCATTCATGAGAGAAGTTTCTGCTGTGTGTCCTTGCAGAAAAGTCACTGGTGCAGCTGGACAGTCTCCTGCTTTATGAGCCGTTTGGATATTATTTGCATTTGCTCATTCATTTATTGTTTTTTGTCTAATGTTACATTCTTGCACCATCATGGGATTATCATGTCATTTTTTAAAAAGTTTCATTTTTTTGTGATACTTATTTTTAAGTGAAGGGTCTCACCACTCTCCCCCATTCCCTTCCATTCCCCCCTCCTGTGATTTGTTTCTAATTTATTACAATGGCATACTCCTTCATCCTTCTATTATAAGCTTAACCTCCTGATATATGTGTGTATATGTATGTATGTGTGTATATAAAAATTTACAAAACAAAATTTCCAGCTGCATGCAGGATTCATCTGGCATGTGATGCTTGGGGAGAAGATTAGTGTAAAGTTCTCCCAACCCCCAAGAGAGGGCTGGACCACAGAGGGCTGGCTTGTCACTGACCAATGACAAGATTTCTGCTATATAAATGTTTATAGTGCTTCAAGGTTTGAGTCCTCCTTCCAGCATAGAGAGAGTCATTTTTTTTCCTTCTAAATTTCCCATTTTCTTGGCCCCTCCTACTCACATAGCCTGTTCACTTAGACTGATGCCTACCTAATGCTGTGATATTGCCCCCTCACAGAGACATACCCCACAGCCTTAACTGGATGATATGGATGGAGGTCCATTTGCACCTGCGAGCAGCCAGCTGTGGTGACAGGTGCAGGGCATGGAAGGCAGCATGTCCGGGTGCAGGTGTAGGTGCAGGGTGGTGAAGGGAGCAGGTCCTTAGAGTAAATGTGGGGGGGGGGGGATTCAATGTGTAGGTCCCTTGAGTTCCTGACGCTTGGACAATGTGCACACCTCCCTTGTCAAAGTGGTGACCATCTCACTGCCTGCACTTCCATGGAGGGAAGACACTGTTCCTAGGTGTGTGGTAACTTGGGGTTCATGTAAAATGCACATCCTGAAGGTGGTGGGTTTGGAGCTGGGATGAATCTGCCCACCTGTTTGCAGCTCTGCCCCAGGATTCCTCGGATCTGGATGAAGTCACTCTCCCTGTTGACGCAGACGTGCTTGAAGCTGAGCTAAAGAACACCTTACCCCTTAGCCTGGCATGCCTAGCTTTCAGGACTTGGCAATGGAAATGACTGACCTCTGGTCTCGCTTTTCTACTTTTCAGTGCATGAGGTGAAGGTCCAGATGCAGGAAAGCCTGACCTTGCTGAGGAAGCCCTGCCTCTCCCACTCCACCTGAAGCTAAGAATGCTGCACAGCCTTGGGAAGGTTTGAGCCTGGTTGCTCTCAGTTCTTCCCAGCGTGGACGCGTTCCTGCCTTTCCCAGCCTGCAGGAGTCAGAGGGTGCTGTGCAAGCACACTGAGTCAAGGCCCAGTGGTGATGGTGGCAGCAGTGGTTGACCATGGATGATGCTGGTGGCCCTGAGGAAGACCGCTGGGTAAGTGAGGTGGCCCTGAGGTATCCCTGTCCTCATCTGCTCCCTGTTAAGGCCTGGGCCTTCCTTAGAGTCCGTGTGGGGTGGGAGGTCCCTGAACTCAGTTGTGGGAGTTGTGGCTGTAAGGTCTTGAAGGTATCTGGAGCAAGTGTGGGCCAGGTGGCTGCCAGCTCTAGGTGCTCCGTGGAAGCCTAGGTCCCTGAAGGCCTGTCTCTTCCTTGGGGATTCTCGTTTTGAGAAAAATCTGATTGACTTGGGCTGCGGGGTGGTCACTTTCATTAGCTGTGATGGGGGCAGGGCAGGGCAGTGGGGAGCACTGTAGCCCCTTGCAGAAGATCCAACGTTCTGCTCCATCTGTAGTTAGCTGGGATTCTGACAGAGAAGGCAGTGCAGGGTTTGTGGTGCAGGAGGAGGTAGCCAGCAGGGTGGGTCCCCGTTTTTCTTCTGACTGACAGGGTGCTTGCTGTGTGCCCTGCTATCCTGGTGCATATGCACACCTGGTCTGTGTGTGTGTGCTTTCATGGGTCAGATGTGTGGGGTTTAGAATTTTATTCGTTTTTAAAAACCAACTAAACAGATTAACTAAATCAATGACGTGACCAAGCCAAAATGGTTGGTTAATTAATTAAATCAGCTTATTGATTGAATGAATTGATGAACTTGTTAGAGCAGATGAGTGAGAATCTGAGAGGCCTGCAGGAGGCAGGCCCTGGAAGCTGACTAGGAAGCCTGTCTGCCAAAGGCCTGGTGAGCAGTGACAGTGATCAGAAGCTGAGAAGATGTGCCTGTCTTTTGTAGCCCTGCACCTGAGGGAAGAGCTGTCAAAAGTCAAAAAGAAGGACTTTGAGCACTTGCTGATGGAGGTGATGCAGATCTGGGACTTTCTGCTCAGGATCCTCAATCAGGAAGTCCTGGAGAGTTGCTCCAAGTTGAAGATTGTCAACAAATTGAGTCTCCCTGCATCCCTAGTGGGCATCAGCTCGGGGGTGTGTAATTCATTCATTGCTGGTTCAGCCTAGATGAGCAGCTACTAAGTAACTACAAGTGACTAGAAAGGATAGTTAAGCATTGGTGGGTGCTGGGCAGAATTGGGCTGCTTTCTGAAGCACCTGCCATGGCCTGTCTCTCTCTCTCTCTCTCTCTCCTTTCTTCTGGCTCTCCTACCCATCAGAGCACGTTTAGGTCTTTACTAATTGGAGAAAATGAGGTCCTTTCCTTGCATAAATGAAGGACTTTGCTGTGTGGACATCTGGCATGGAGTTGCTGGCTGGGCCATGTGTAGTGCAGACTTTGACTCACAGTGGAGCTGATGTGAGAAATAGCCTTCCAGGATCCTGCTGCCATCGGAGATTACCCTAAGGGAGATTTGGACCTGGCCTGTCTGGGATGGAAGTAAGATGAAGGTGGTCTTTTGTGGTTAAGGCTACTTTACCAGGCACTGTTTGACAGCCCCCCCCCCCCCCCGGAGTGTCGTTCTGGGCAAGGAGATGTCAGGGATCAAGAGTGTGAGTTTCTGGGTTGAGCAGGTGAATGAGCCTGCCAGCATGAAGCCAGAGGTAGAATGTTGGTAGTGCTATGCGACAACAGCCTTATGCTCTAGGGGTCAATTTTTAAAAATTTTTTTTTACATTTTATTATTATTATCATTTTGTGATACAGTTCCATATTCCCTTATCCCCTCCCCACTTCCCTCCCCCCCCCACCTAGTTCCTCTATATCATTACTAATATACAGTTCTTCATACACAGTCATATGTCCATCATTGTGGGCATGTCAATGGTAGAGTCCAGAATCCAATACTCAAAATATAGAGGACATAATATAATAAATTGCATTAATCCAAAATAATCATTCACTTACCCTTGACTCTAATAGACAACCTTTATTTTAATCAGTTCAAAGATAGAATAAATTTTCTTCAGGTATGGTGATAGCAATATAATTTCTTTTTTTTTTAAAAGATTTATTTTTATTATTTTTTCATTGGAAAGGCGGATATACAGAGAGGAGAGACAGAGAGGAAGATCTTCCGTCCAATGATTCACTCCCCAAGTGAGCGCAACGGCCGATACTATGCCGATCCGAAGCCAGCAGCCTCTTCCGGGTTTCCCACACGGGTGCAGGGTCCCAAAGCCTTGGGCCGTCCTCAACTGCTTTCCCAGGCCACAGGCAGGGAGCTGGAAGGGAAGCGGGGCAGCTGGGATAGAACCGGCGCCCATATGGGATCCCGGGCGTGCAAGGTGAGGACCTTAACCACTTGCGCCACCGCGCCGGACCCATGTGATAGCAATATAATTTCTTAAGAAACAATA